TATATTTTTAAGTGATTAATAGAGTATCATTCTAATGGTCAGTAATTTATCAATACTCTATCGAGTTCGATTTTTGCCATCCTGGTTATTGAAAAGGGCAATTTGCGTAGTACTGGTGACTCGTTGATATTGCCAAGTGATTGATTATTTAATGAATAGTTTTTATTTTAGTCAATAATTAGCAAAGTCTTTTTTATTTTAAGAGGGCGCTCATTATTTCTAATTAGTTCCATTCCGCAGACCTCCTGGAGTAAACAAGTTTTGTAAGGGAATCACTTGCTTAGACGAACACTCCAAGGAATTTTGTAAGACAGGTTCACTTCTACCGGAAGTAGAAAGCGAGCATCGAAGTGCCGAAATGAGAGCAACAATCCAGTAAAAAGTTCCATCGGCATTCCTACCAGAGAAGATTTTAAAATCAAAATAAATAAAAAAAATTGAAAAACTGAAATGAAAATACAAAATAAAACAAATTATGTGACGCATTGTCGAAGCAATTTTAAAAATTCGGACAATGTTTGGCACTCATCTGTATCGTCAAATCGTCAAATTGCAATTCTTGGCAAAATGCGTATTGTCCAACAATCCAACAATCCATGGGATTAGACCTAACTGATTAATGATTTACAGCCTTAGTTCGATATTCTTTGGGAATTTAATTCAAATAATCTGAAATACGAAGAATTTTTGTCCGGAAATCGTTTCAGAATTCAAGTATCTTTTGTAACAATGCTAGTCAATTGTCAGTCAGTCATTTAGTTAGTTTGTCAAACCATCGTCATCAACATCATCACGAATCCTCCTTCCTCTATTTTAGTTTGTTATAACGAGAATTATTATTTCCTCTATTTTATCAAAAATATTTTTATATTATATTTCCAATTTTAATATTATTTAAATAGAAATTACTAATAGATGTTGATAAATACAACAAACTAAAAAAATAAGTATTTCATCGATCGAAGTTTTTTGCAAAAATTATTTGCCGTGGTTTCGATTTTTTTAAAATTTAATGATAACTATCAGCTGAACTATCTTTTGAAATTTAAAGCCGAATGTTTTTAATTTTTGTAAAATATTTTGAGAAATTCGTAAAATAGGTATAAAATTTTTATGGAAAACTGAAAAATTTATAAAGTATCTTATTTTAAATGATATTTTAAAAGGCGCTTTTCTTAAATTTTCATTTATAATAATCTTTTATATAATAATATTATAATAATATAATAAAGTTAAATCTATTCATTAAATTTTCCATCGCTATTTTTCGCGATTTTGTCGCTATTTGCCGCGATTATCTTGCATAAATCCCAAGTTTTAAAGCATTAAATATCAATATTTTTAATTAAAAATAGATTGAAAAGTTTTCAAGATTTATTTAGTTAGTTGAATAAAAAGTGGTAATTTACTAAATTTAATATCTCTCATCGTTTCATTCGTATTCAAAATTCGTATTTAATTTTATTAATATTCGATTAATGTAATGAATTATAAAATTTCATTTAAACTCATTGCTGTTGGATAAAAAGTAGGTGATTAACCTCGCTGCGTTGGCTAAAATTTAATATGATTTTTGCCAAGAAATTTTACCATTTCAATAGAAACACGAATAGGTCGCTAGCACTATCCTTATTTTTCAAGACAATATTTACTGGGAAAAAGTACCTTTCTTCTTTCCAACATAATGATTTCATATAAATATTCACTAATTTTTTTCTATTTACAACTTTATAATTTCTTAAATTAATTTCTTAAATTTTATTCCTTTTTAGTGATAAACAATTTATAAAAGTGCAAATCCATTATTAGTCCATTTTACAATAATTACATTAATTTCAATTCTAAAAGTAAGTAAAACAATTTTTTTATTATTTATTTTTATTTATTATTTTTATTTATTTCTTATTCATTTCCATTTTCTCATTATTTTACATAATTCTTTATTATTTTATTGTTTTTATAAATTTTTTATAAATTTTTTATTCTGGTTTTTGCAAAAAATTCAAAATTAGTTCAAAAACATTCTTAAATTTTTTGCTAATTTAATTAGTTCGATAAGATATTTTGAACTAATTAAATATCTTCAAAATATCTTTTCGAACTAATAAAATTTTGATCTATTTTTGATTTAAAATTTCTTTTAAAAATCAGCATTATTTAAAATGAATAATACTTATTTTTTTATTTTTATTTATTCATTTTTACTTATTATTTTTATAAATTTTCTATTTTTACCATTTGCCATTTTTTAAATTTACCATTCATTTACCATTTTATTTTTATTTAATATATATATATATATATATGAATATATATGTATATAATTTTTTTTTAAAATTTTAAAATTTGTTTCAAAATTTTGATACAATTTTAGTATTATATATAAATAAGTAAGTATTTGGTGAAACGTGTATTTTCGCGCGGAAGAAACTAGTTTTCTATAATTTAATCTTTTATTTTACACGTTTTCTTTTTTTTGCATGATTATTGTTAGGTTCATGAAAGAATTTTTTATATTTATCATCAATCGAAATCAATTTTCATTGCTATCGTTCGATTTTCATTTTTCTTATCCTTTTCCATTTAAGCGATGAATAAAAATATTATTTAAATCATTTAAATCTATTTGCACTTTTTCAATAAAATTGATAGATGATAAGATATATTTCATTTTATCAATATTCATTTTCACTTGAAGTTTTCGAATAAAAAATTAAAATAAAGAACTGAAGAATTTTTCCAGTCTATCGAGTCGATTTTTTTAGAGATTTTCTTTATCGATGCTGAGGTTCGACTCCCGGAAACCTGTCTTTCAAAAATCGCATTGTATCGCTAGCGGTCCACTTATATTTCTATCATTAAATTAAACGAAAAATTAAGAATAAGTGGCTAAACTTTGTTATTTCTGGTTAGATTTGCTACTCCACTGACTAGGATGCGAAGTTTTTTTTGCTATAGAATTACTTAAAGTGATAGAAGTATAAATTAGATCGACAGTAGTATCCGGTATTTTATTATTAAATACAATATTTGTTAGTAAATTTTTGTTTTATTAGACCTAAATTTTAATTTTATCTGTTTGCTTAAAACTTACAAAACATAAAAATTTTTGCGAAAAATGAAGTGCAATCTTTCTAAATAATGAAAAAAAATAAAGAAAGACAAATAACTGAATGCCTCCAATTTTTTTTTTGTAAAAGAACTCAGCATTGCTTATCAGGCTGGTACCACTGACTGGCTTACTGTACCAAATAATTTTCAATAAATCATTTGGCAATAAGACTGGTTTTGCCAGTGATACCCGTATTCCCCACTTCTATCCCCAACATTCCCCAGCATTGTCATAAAATAGCTCTAACAAATGATTGAATAAATCTGATAGATTAGAAAATTTCTAATTGTTCTTTTCAATTTAATTATCATAAGTGTTATATTGTATTTATTTACAAATTTATTCATATATGAATAAATAATTTCTAATTTTGCTAATAATATTCAAAAGGTCATTTGGATGGTCATTTAATAATTATTCATAAATTATAAATTATATGAACAATATTTATAGCATAAAATGAGAACAATGAATTTTGTCGATTTGAACGAACAATTAGTTAAATGATTATTTCATACGATTCTATTATTCGATAATTCAAATAATTAATCGTTCTCAATTATTTTTTTAAATTTTTCATCTAAAAATAATCATTTTTAAATTTTATATTTACATTTATGGTATTAATTTTTAAATAAATTTTTCGATTCAATTTTTATTATTTTATTCAATTTTATATATATATTATTTATACATATATTATTAATTTTATTTTATTTATATAATATAATTTAGGGACATATTAACAATATATTCAAATTTTGGCCTATATAGCTTGATTGTGAATTAATAAATGGCTAGCGTTGAATGATATTCCATTGCTAATATATATATATTATTATATATATTATCATATGATATATCATTCAAAAATATTAATTATTAATTAATTATTTTATTAATAGTATTAACCGTTCTATAATCGTAAGGATGTAAGTAAGTAGTTAATGCTTAACACTTCTGGCTCAGCTCAGGCTCGCTTCATTAGCTGTTAGTATGATGAGAAATTTTTTGCTAAAAAATCACTCGATAATAGGAATATTAATGTTTCTGGTACCACGCTGATTTTCTTATAATTCGTGCCGAAAACAGAACTCGAGTCTTAGAGTTGAGCAGCAACTATTTTGTTGTCTCCTTCTTGATATAAAATAAAATAATTGTATTTATTATATTGAAAATTATATTAATTAACCTAAAATTTCGTATAGAATCTATCGAAAAAAAAAATTTTTTTTTCGTAGAAATCTTAATTGCTCTCTTCATTTTCGACTTTATTGACGCAATGACTTTCAATAAATAACTGTAAATTTAGAAATTGTAAAAGAAATTATAGAAGATAGCTTGATTGGAAGAGACTATCATAATTCAGGTTTCTAGAATCGAAAATAGAAATCATTCGATCTAAAATCGATAACTAAATTCCTATAATTTATTTCTATTATCGAGAAGAAGAAAATTGAATAATTAGTTAGCAGTCATCATATCTGGTACGATTTGCTTTACTGATCAATAATTAGTAGGGTAAAGCCAATTTTACTAGAGAATTGTGTTTAACAATATTATTTATTTCGAGGAACAACATTTTTTATTCAAGAATAATGGTTGAAGATGAATATCATTGCACATTATATTTCGTAGATTTATAATCATATATTAATATTAAAATTTTAGAATTTTTATCAGAAAATTATCATTTCACGTGAAACTGTTTTTAATTATTATACTATCATTGATAATGATCTAAAAATTTTCTTTGAGCGTTTCGAAGAAAAATTTAGATAAACAACATTAAATGCATATGTCATTGTTTACTGAGGAATATTTTATTTGTTAAAAAATTATCAGTCCAATCTATATAATTTACATAACTTTTTTTAAATAGAAGTCAATGGATTATGGTGATACAAAAAGGAGAGTAGAACAAGAAATTTATGAACATCATGTAACCGAATTGATCAAAACTGTTCCTTATCCGAGTCGACGAAGTTCCATCGAAAAGAAGATTATTACGGAAAAGAAAATAAGTTGTGGAGAGCAAAAATCTCCACCCGATTATAAAACAACATTAAAATATTTACAAGGAGATATTTCATCTTTAGCGGCCGATACTTCTGATAGGAGGTTTACTTTTATTTTATCATTTTTTTTTCATTTTTTTATGGTTTGAATATGATTATCTAATTAATTTCTATGAATGCTACTTTTTTTTTTCAATTTCCTAGAGAATATTTTTTAGATATAGAAAGTTTGATCAAAGTATCGGTCGAGACAAATCACTTCCACATGATTCAGGTTATTTCTAAAGTGAAATTATGAAAATCAATAGAATAAGGATAATTTTTTTTTTTTAAATTTTATTATGAACATTTCGATTTTTCATGCTGTTAACATTAAATAGACATATTTAGTGGCGAACCCTCAGTATAGGTGCTTTTTTGTAGTTGTTCATTATCAGCAGACAATGCGACACAATAAACATTATATAGAATGAGTGACAATTGCAATTTAAACATTGTTTTTTTTGGATTTGAACATCAGATATAAATGGGTTTTATTTGATTTCCCGAGACAAAAAAAAGTTATATCCTGAAATCCGGTTTCCATAATCCTTATAAATCGCTAAAATTATAGACGTATCTATATCGTTTCGAGAAACGAATGGTATTACTCCAACTTTGAGTAAGTCAATTACGAACGTAGACTCATATGGTTATGATGTCCATGAAATACATACATCAGGTTATTGACAGGATTTTTAAATTGTATTATTAATGTACTTTTATCAATGACAACGTTAATAATAGTAAAATTCTATCGTTTTTTTTTCTTTTACATGAATAGTCAAATGATTCATTGCCTTAATTAAGTTACACAGGAAAAAAAATTCTAATCTACGGTGATGGTGGTGAAAAGGCAGGAAGAAGGAGGAAAGAAATTTAAAAATAAAAATAGAATTTGTATGATTCTGAGGATTCATCCATGCTAAGGATTACTATTATTACTAAAATATGATGCTGCCTGACGAAACGGCCATAAAACAGGAATGGTTTATGTCATTCGGTATTCCTAAATTATTAAGTCATCTTTTTTCGAAATTAATTTATGTATTCATCTTTAGAAGGTGGAGCTCGTATTGTACAAACTCATGGAAGTGGACTGATACATAATCATGGTTCTCCAATTGAACAACGTGATCGCTCAATAAGTGAACAAAAGGTGATTGGTGATGAAAGTTTTGAACAAAGAACGACGTTAGTCCAGGAACGGGCTGCGTTAAAATCAGCCGATTCGAAAGAAGTTGGCTTTCTTGCTTCTTCTCGGTTAGGCGCATTCTTTTTTGTCGTACTTTAGGGCCATTTGACATGCAATATGGTAGAAAAGATGAGGCATACAATGGTTCAGTGAATTGTTGCACAATTTAGAGTGCCGATGTTAAAATTCTCTTCCTCACAGGAATAAACCTGTTCAAAATCAGTAATGCTGGTAATATTCGCCTACATTTTTATTGCCAAGGGGCTTCCTGGTATATTTATCTGGTGCGACAAACCAGCGGAGCGAGTTTAACCAGTAATAGTGAGGACTCTTAAAAGAAAAAAAAGGAACGTCAAAATCTTATTGTATGCTAAATCTTTCACTAATAATTATTATACTAAAATAAATAATCTCATATTTTGATAATATCGAATGATTTTAAGAAAAGAAATTTTTTTTCAGGCCTACAGTTAGTGGGATACCTTCAACTATAACTCCAGGTGTTTATACTGTGCCAACGCCAACTACTGCGAAAAATGGATCGTGGAGACAGATTAGTGAAAGGTGCCTATTTGTCATATGAAAATTGAGAAAATGATAGTAATCGTTTGATTTGTTTGCATAGTAATCGCAACCTTAAGCATGGTAAATTTTGCGAATATAAAATTTCTTTTTCATTTTCCCTCATTTCATTTTCCTTATCGATCATATCGATGATGATTTCTCCTCATTCATTTAGGTAAATTTTTTTAAAGATTTCAATGAAATTTTTGAAGTTTATAATGATAAAAAGTTTTTAGTTTTTCAAAAGTAAATAAATAAAAATAAATCTTAAAAGTATAATAAAAATATAAAAATATAAGATATAATGAAAAAATAAGTAAAGTAAATCTTTGACAAAAAAATATTTTAGTTCATTACAACGAAAGGATAGCTATAAACGAATGCAAATGGGGCAAAGAGATGATATTGACCATTATGCCGTAATAATTTCCTTAATAATTTTTCAAAATCTCATAATTTTTCCATAAAAAGCGATTATTTAATTTTCATTAATCATTTCCATAAATGGTATGCCCGAATGGCTCGGTGGATTATTGGTCTGATTTCAGAATATAGATTGAGGTGTTTGTTTTCCGTAGGAGTAAATCTTAAAGATTCTTTACTCAAAGATTTTCTAAAATGCAAGTATTGACAATAAATCAATTTATTTATATTTCTATCACTAAGTGATTGAATTAGTTGGTGGAATTTCGCTTGGTCCGATAAATCATTGGAACTAGCCTAACCATAAGATGCTTAAGAATACTTAATGCAAATACCACAAATTTTTTAAAAAACAGCTCAATTATGCCGAAATAAAGAGCGAATTTCTCCTTTCTTTATTTCCATGAAATTATATAATAAAATTTAAAATGGTACCACAAAAAAAATCTGATCTATAATCTTTTGAAATATTTTCTAAATTCTCTAATTTTTAATTAAAATTTAGTTGCGATCAGATGCATCGCTTATGACTGGTGGTACTGATCGTTCGCTTCATCGCGCGCAAAAATCATCTTCTTGTCGGCAGCGATTCGCAAAATTTGGCCAAAAAATTATAAATCGAACGCGGTATCTGATTAAACAGTCATTATTTGCTATATAAAGCACTAATTCAATTAGAAAATATGCTAAAAAATAATTTTTCCAAATATTGCGCTGGTTTTATACAGTCATTCTCTTGATTAACCGTGTATAACGTCTATAAAAACGATTAAAGCGATAAGCCAAAATACTAATTTTCCTCTAACCTGGTTACATTTAGAATCATCTGAAGTCATTCTTCAAGTATCATCTGTAATATTTTTTAAACATCTTACGATCTCTCTCTCACTTTAATCTTCAATCGCATTCTCAAAGCTAAATTCTTCTAATGCCATTATCAGTAATATTATCTTAAATCATTTCATGTTTCCTCAAATCACACTGTATGCTTTCGCCGTATCTTATCAGTAATCACTAATCTAAAATCTTATCTATCTTTGCTTAGAATTAGTTTTAGATAGTTAAATTCCTTATAGATAGCTCATTATAAATTCCTTATAACAATTCTTTTTGTTTGAAAACATTAAGATTTCCTAAAATTCTCTTATAGAGCGTGATAATCTGGTATAATATGGTACCAAATTCTTTAGCTACAGCTCAATGCTCTAATAGCCTGAAAATCCAGTCCATCGCTTTCAAAATTTTTAGCACCACTCGAAACCTACTGTATTTTGCAAAAGGTTTTTCGAAATTCTTAGCGTGAAGTCCTTCTTTTATCCATAATCAAATCCATTTTATTCTTTACATATTATTTCAGACATAGTAACCTCTTAAGACTACTTATACACTTTCTACTCTCCAAAACTTACCATTTTGTTTTTTTGGTTCCATTTCAAAATCTATTGTTCCTTTCCAGTGAGTCTCATTTAGTCCCATTTTACCCATCAACAACCTTCTTAACTTCTTTAATCGTCGTTATCGAGGTGCCTAAATACTTAGAAGAAGTAGAGAATGTTAAGAGAGTCCTAAAATGATCTATCCGGCCCAAAAAAAAAATTTATCTTTTATATTCAAAGAAATTGTGAGGTTCTCTCTAGGATTCATTGAGAATAATAAATATTATGTGGGATTTTTGATAATTACGGCGAATTTAATAGATAAAAATTTTTATAAGTGGAATTAAAGAAATTTAATGGTTTAAAAAAATTTGATAGGGAAGAAATTTTATAGAAAAAATTTAAAAAATTTGAATAATTAATCGTCTTAATCCTCAATAATGAAGAAAAATTTCATGAAATCTTCATTTAGTACTTTAGTTATCTTATCATCTCTAAATCATCTTTGACCATAAAATTTGTTTGCCTCAAAATTAATTTTTTAATTCATTAATTATTATTATTTATTATTTTATCTGTTGTTATTAATATAAGCACATGGCGTTTGTCGCCCTTGCTTGGCCGATTTTCAATAAATAAATAAATAATTATTTTATTCATTCTGAAATTCTATAAAAATTTTTTCAAAAAGATATTTTACAACACACCGGAAATCTCAAAATCTTCATAATACTCTTTAATATTTCATTGAATATTTTCTTGCCGAAACTCGGCAAGATAACCTCTTTAAATTCCATTAGATTATATTAAATCTATCAAAATCCACTATAGAGCACAATGCCATATTACTTTATAACCTTTCATTCCAATTTTATTATTTTCTAATTTGAGGCACTATTGATCCTGAAAGTAATATTCTATGGGAAACATTTTAGAATCTCTTCAGTCACCCTTTCAAAATCTCTAATACTAAGCCATATTCCCTTAGCGATGGCCTCAACCACTTTCTATTGCCTTAAACCCAGCTTAATGCAATTTCTTTGCAAAAATGGAACGGAAATGGAACTGTTTGATGATAAAATAGTAATAAGAATTTGAGAGTATTGAGGGAAAACTAAAGAATAAGAATTAATGATTAGACCAATATCAGAGTTTGGATGCATCTTAAGGGAATGTAATGGCTTTTAAGGAAACGTTGAGGGATATGTGATTCCTTTCACTACTCTATCTGTAACGCTTCATTCTAAATGAATTTGAATTAACATTTATCATAATTTAACAGAAAATTTAAATCAAAAATATATAAAAGTATATTTAAAATAATGTTTATTATTTATTTTTCAATTAAATTTTCTTATAATTATACTCAAATGAATTTTGAAAAATGGCTATTAAAAAAATGGATTACCAATTATATATTATAATTTATATTGGTATTATAAATATTATTATAAATATCATTGTATTAGGTGCTTCAGTGGTTCATGGTAAGGTAATTGTGACCGAGAAGCTTGAGCTAGAATTTTTCTGCCTACTACTCATCATCAGGCAATAGTACCGCCTAGTGGAAAAAAGAAAGTAAAATAAATTAGCGGCTATTGTTGAATTTGGGATGCCGATGCTGAAAATCTATTCTAGGCAGGAATAAAGCTATAGAAAAATCCGTTGGCGACTCGTTCGTACTTCTATTACCAAGGCACTCCCTGGCATATTTAACAATTCAGTGGAGCGAGTCTAACCAAATTGGTGACATTGTTTAGAACAATATAATAAATGTATTAGCATTATTATAATTGTTATAATTATATTATTTGATTATATGTTATAAATCATATTATTATTATTTTTATTATTATTTATTATTATTATTTATTTTTATTATTATTTTGTAAATATAATTATAATTATAATTTTTAATTGTAATTTAATCTTAATTATAATTGTTATAATTTTTAGTTAAATTTAATCAATTCAATTAATCAATTAATCAATTTAAATTTAAATTTAAAAGTTAATTTTTTGAAATTTAATTTATTTAATTTATTTATTTATTTAATTAAAATTTAATTTTAATTTATTATTACAAATTTTTCTCTTCAAAAAATTGCTTTTAGAATTTTTAGGGAAACTGAATGGACACCTCGATTATTATGCCTTTTATTATTGCTTCTTTTATTATTAATATTATTTTTCATTTTGCTTGGTATTATCTTAACTGCGATTTTCGGTTCATATTCGGTATAATTTTTTTTTCATATTTTATCATAATTTCATTATGTTTTATCATAATTTTATCATATTTATAATTCGAATATTACTTTTTTTTCAATAAAATAGTGAAATAATTTAAATACTATTATTTAATAAAAGTTTTTTTTTCGATAATTAAGGTTGAACGCATAATTTTACATCCACCGATATGCGACAACTGTAAGAAGAATGGATTTTTCGAGCAAACTCCAAGCACTCTTTACGTCCATTATTACAGTCCATCACAAGTACATTTCGAATTGAATGGCAATCCTCCATTCAAAAGCAATTCTTTCACTGCAGTTGATTTCGATACGGTTTATTTTTCAGGCTATTTTTTGTTTTTTTTTTCACGCACTATTTCTAGTTAAGCCTTGATTTGCTCTGATTTGTCGAACGAAGCAAAATTTTTATTCGACAACAAAAGTACCGATGTATCACCAGCATCACGCTGACTTTCAGGTAACAGGTTAACTACTGTCGTGAGTAAAATTCCTGCATCGATGTTCCGAAATGAGGCGAATAACTCGCTGAGCTATTCTAATTCACTTTTTAATTCTCTATTTTTAATTTTTTTTTTGGTTTTTGTCTATAATTTATCTATAACAAAGTGATAACTTTGGTTTATCAAAATTAGTAGTTTTCTTGTTGCTTTTAGGAAAATATAAATAAATCCACTATTTATTTCAAAATTAGTGGTCATACGATTTGATTATATTTATGAATTATTCGAAAAATTTCTTAAAGTTTTAAGTTAATAAAGTTTTACAGGGTTATATTGCTATAGCTGATCACGCATTAACAAACACTGAAGGAACACATACAACATGCTTTATAATGCCTCTCGATCGTTCTGCGCTGCCAAGCATGGAAGCCTTGAAAGATGCTTTAAAACATAATGAGGTAAATTATTTAAAGTTTTAGTAGTCTTCAGCTAATATACAAATAATTCATGAGATTGATAGAAATATTGAAGGTACAATCAGAATTTGGTTGGCAGCAATACTGGCAATACCAAGCCGAACCAATTGATGCGAGTATGGCTCAAAGAAAATTTTCATCTCCCATCCAAGATTGTGAGCAAGCAAAGTGGTATTTGTTGGTGCATACTCTCTATACGAAAGGTCATATTGAACCCTATTTATAAATTTAGCCATTATGATAAAATATGATATATGAAACATTCGGTAGCATTGAACCTCATAATCACGGAGAATAATCAATAACATTGTTTTACAAAGGGTTCTGCCTTGATTTTCATTCATTTTCATTGATAAGCATTAATTAAATTAGTCACGTTCAGGCGAGGGGATATTGTATCGATTAATAGCAAGCAATATGGATTTTAATAGGTTAACTGAACTGATATACTGTTATCAGTGGTGAAATTAGGATGCTGGTTGATAATATCTCTTGCAGAAAAATACTACCATATTAGCTAGAAAAGTCAGTTGGGCCAAATATTATTTTTAAAGTAAAAGTTATGATAAATTAATGCTTAGCTGATTATTAAATATAAAATCAAGATCTATTAAAATTAAAATACTGAAAATTTCAGATGCGAGCTGCTCTGATTGTTACGATTTTTGCCTACCAGATTATAGTATTCAGCGACTTCATAAATATGAAGATGATATGACAATAGGTATAAGGCGTCTTAATTGCTTTAGATTTTATGTGCCTGAATGGTCAAAATTTCAAATTCGTACGGACAGCGATGGCGGACGCTGGTCTTATCCTAAATCTAAATCCAGTTGAGTACAATGGTTAAAAGATTTTAATGATAGTAATGATAGTATCTTATCCTAAATCTAACTGAATTTAATAGTGCAAAGAGATTTCAGTTTTAGCTAAACAAAATGATAATGAAAGGATTTATGATAAAATTTTAGAATTTGATTATAATAGATTCTTTGTGATAGCAAAGAAATTTGAGATATGTCAATTAATAAGAAAATCTTTCCAATTGAGGATATCTTTTACGAATTTTAACCATTGTTAAATAGCTTTAAATAAATTTTTCAAATGCAAATTAATTTAATTTTTTTTATTTAATTTTTTCTTTATTATATTAATCAAAATTGTTCAACTCTTTTTATCAGTGATATGAAGTCTTCAGTGATATGGAAACGAAAAATATATGATAGGAGTTCTTTACTCAACAAAATATAGCCTTTTTTTTCAAAATTTAATTATATTTTTTACTGGAACTTAATATTTTTCGCTTTATTATACTGCCAATGTTTTTATATTTGCTTTTTACCTTGTAATATTTACCTTTTACCTTGTAACACATGTAATCTATTTTGCAGTTTGCTTGCAGTTTCTGTACTGATATCCTTTAATGAACTTTTATTGCTTTCTATTGCTTTTCGTCGGTGAAAAAAATTGCAGTACTTCTAATTATTTGCAGTTAATGTTGCCTTTTAAGCGAGCGTTCACTATTCCCTCAACTAGTTTTGCCAGGAAATCACTTGGTGATAAAAGTATAGGTGAGCAGTCACCAGAATCACCTAGGAAAGTTTCCTCTTATTGCGAATCTTCGCAACAGCGCTTTTGCTCATTGATTTATTTTTCTTTTAAAATATTGTTTAAATATCTATTTATAATGGGTTTTACGCTTTACGCTTACAGTTATCAGTACCATGTAAAATCTACCAAAAATTATGCAAACTCCAACCTTTTTAAAAATCCTTTTAGAATTTCTCAAAATCCTTTCTTTGAACATTTTTTTTCTCAATTTACCACGATTCGACCGTAAAATCCACTCTGATTCAGCAAAATCTGCCATAGCTGCTTGACAACTCGAAAATAGTAAAAATTCTTCAAAACTCAACTAAGGCTCTACCGAAGTTGGTGTACTATTTTGCTAGTATCAATATCATCTTCAAACTTCTCTTACAACCTTAATTCCTCAGCATTCTTGTAATTTCCTCAGAAATCGCTGAAACCCTTCATATCTCCATAATTCTATTAACCTTCTTTAAAACCTCATAATTTCAAAATAATTCGATGTATTTTTTTCCACAAAAATATGTCCTATTTTTCGCTCGAATTCGATAGCAATTTCTCTAAACTCCCTTATTTTTATTTTAAAAAGTTTTTTTCAGATTCCATTCAACACCCTTACCTTTTGAAAACCCCTCTCACCATTTTTAATTTACTCTTTTAATCTTTTGCCACAATCATCCACTTAACCTTTTTCGTTATTGCAAATTACGATTACTTAACACCCCATCTTTCTCTCGTTTATAAACTTATAAATAAACAAAGAGCAATATGATATTGGTTGTTGCCATCAAAGGAATATAAAGGAGATTGTGAAATTGGGGAGGCTAAGGGAGAACTGGGCATTTGATAGGCGTCAAAAAAAATGAAATTCGATGGGATATTTTCGGGAGAAGACGGACAATGAGATATTAGGGAATATGCTCGTATTTGATGGCAGTTCTGCATATCCTGTTTTTACTAGCATTATGAAATTAAATCTCTAAGTCCTGAAATGACAATTTATTTAGTAAAACGTTGATTATTGATGAAAATGAAATAAAATATTGATTGATGTAATGGAAAGCTATGGCGGTACAAGATAACTGCCACGAGAATCAAGGTTGAGTTCAAGTTCGGCCGATACACCACGTTTTGTTGGATTATAGTATCTCATATCGGATAAAGTGAAGGAGAGTAGAATAGCACAGCTCAACTTGAAGAACCAAAGTTCTACTTTCGGAAGGAATAAACCTATTCGAGGAATGATGTCGATATTTTGGTGTAATCACTTTTTCATGAGAGATTGAAAAAATTGAAAATATTGTGATTTTTGATATCTGCAAATTTGCTACTGTAGATTTCATTTCAAATATTCCATCATTTTTATTATTAGCTTTCAAAACTTTTTCGTTGCAAATCTTTCGAAATTAGTTTCTTCTTGAGTTTCTAGCTATTATTTACTATTACTACTTTACCTCAGTAGTATCAAATGCCTTTAATGTAATTTTCAAAAAATTTAAATATATTGTAAAGCAATAGGGGCTGGAAGAATTATCTCCAAACGTTTATTAGGAGCGCTTATCATTTCACTCGCTTCGCTGGCAAAATCAGATGAGATAAATATGATAGCGAAATAGAGATCTTAACGGTGGAGATACAAGTGAATTACCAGTATCACTGGCGATTTTTGACAGACAAGTTTTTGATCCGAGAGGAGGAGGATTTCACCAGGGATCAGCAGGGATCCGATTTGCGAAAAAATGCATTGAGCCATTCTCTTTTACTTTCTATGTAAAGTGGTAGCCGGTTCGAACTGCCTCGTATAATATAATCTACGATACAAAACTATTGCTTAGATTATCGTCACGGAAATTGAAAACCTCCTGCGAGCCTAACTATACTGTTATGACTATCTAGCAAATATTTCTCACCCATCCAAAATTATGAAATTGCTTATACCCAATCCAAAATTATGAAATTGTAATGCGGAATTTACAATTATTATTTATTATTTCGATGTGGCTAGAATTGCTCAATGGATTGTTGCACAATTCGAAACGCCGATGCTGAGGTTCTAATCGACAGCGGTGGGATTGCTATCGAAGATCGTTAGCTAGTTCGAACGGGCCAGTACTTTACGTCTCTAGAAAGTAAAAGAGAATGGCTCAATGCATTTTTTCGCAAATCGGATCCCTGGTGAAATCCTCCTCCTCTCGGATCAAAAACTTGTCTGTCAAAAATCGCCAGTGATGCTGGTAATTCACTTGTATCTCTACCGTTAAGATCTCTATTTCGCTAGCATATTTGTCTCATCTGATTTCGCCAGCGCAGCGAGTCTGATGAGAAACGATAAGTGCTTCTTATAAACGTTTGGAGATAATTCTTCCAGCCCATATTGCGGATTTTTTTTCGTTGTTCTTTAGTTGCTATTAATAGCAATTAAAAAATCTTTTTTCTTTTTTGAATTGAACCCATAAAATCTTTTAAAAATTTAAATTCAATTTTATATCATTTATTTAAAATATGAATTCAAAGCTATTTTTTTTCCAATTTTTCGCCAATAAAATTTCATTTATTTCGTAAAATAATGGTTAAAATTTTAATTGCTAAATAAAAAAATTCATTTACATAAAATATAAGCAATTTGGATTGGGCATAAGCAATTTCATAATTTTGGATTGGTGAGAAATATTTGCTAGATAGTCATTTGAAAAACAGTATAGTTAGGCTCGCAGGAGGTTTTCGACAATCTAAGCAATGGTTTTGAATGCATAGGTGGACCAGCAATATATGGATTTAGAAGATAGAAAAAGGAATGATTTCTATTACGGTCGACGATAGCATCAGACCGCGACGTTTAGAAGCGTCTTATCCTTCTAGCCATTGGAGCTAGCCTAAAAGTAATGGTGAGAGTTGTTAGAAGAAGAAGAATCTAAGCAATGGCCATTTTTTCAAAAATTAAGAAATAATGAATTATTCAAAGAAAAAAAGAAAAAAAATAAAAGAGAACGTATAAAAAAACTCGCTGATTTTTATGATTATGATTTTATGATTACATAAAAACGATACCTCCACATACTGGAAATTATTTTTTATCGAAGAACATTTGTTCCAATAAATGCAAAGCATTTGAAAAAATGGAATGATCATTTTTTGACTGATCAAACATGTTTTAAATTTTTCGATATTTCCTTTTATTTTTATGCCTATTTTAGGAAAATAAATAATTGAATATTTTGAATATTAAAATTGCTTAATTCAAATCAATCGATAAGTAAAAATTTCTGAACTAACCTTACGAATTTCCTATGTGAAATATAAATTGAATAAAGTTTATGAAAAGAGATTCAGAATGATTTTATCAATTATCATCAGATCGCTATCGAATTCGAAATCGAAGAGAATTGCAATTATCTTTATCAAATTCGAGCAGAACAAATGAATTGAGCATATATTTTGTCGGTGTTCGTAGATGAAAATTTGTAATAAGTGAAATTAGTCGAATCAAAAATGCGATAACCACTCTTACTTAGTAAATGGAAAATAGTCACTTTACTTTTATGGTCACCGAAATCAGTTTAACCATTAATGTTGACAGTTGTATGCAAAAATAAAATATGAAATTGAACAGTTCTCACTGGTAAAGATGGCTACAAAGGTTTTCAAACTGCGCGATCTGATGCCCATCGCTGATAATAATGATAAAGCATTCCTTTTTCCATCGTATAAGTCCTATCTATATCACTTGTGCCCCTATACGTTCAAAATTTTTCCTGTATTCTCATTTTATGTCTTGATTGGCCCACCTTGTTTTTAACCGCACCCGTATATCTCGTTTTGTGATGGTACTGTTAATGCAAATAATATTTGAACGAAGGTGGATGCAATTATGTGCCATTTTATCCACTCAACTACCCCATAAAATATATTAGCTTAGACATGAGTGGTCAAAGGATGAGTGGTGCAATTCTTAATCCTTTCTTCATCATCTCCATTCTCATCAGCCATATCCCAGCGCCACATAGCAAATCGAAAGAATTGCAATTATATGACCGCGAGTTTTCGGCTTAATCTTCGCGACTCTATAAAAATTTCTCGGCCAAAAGAATTATTTATTAAAAATTACGAGCTAATTTATCAACAGTTAATTATAGCACTTGACGAATAGTGAATAGTGAACACTCCAATAACTATTCTTCATTTTGCAAGAACCCCCCTCCCCACTCCTCTCGCTCTCTCTTTTTCTTTTTTTATTTCAAATATTTCAAATAAAAAAATAATAAAATTGTTTAAATCTGAAATATGTTGAAATGATCTTGGAAATTTTTAAATGAGATGACATTTTCTTCATTGTTCTTTCGAGTAAAACGAAAAAAAATAAAAAGTGGAAGATTTTTGATTTCATATGTAATAGATAATAATAATTAAGGGATAGAATAGCTCAGTGGGTTATCGCTCACTCAATTGGAAACGCTGATGCTGTGGTTCGATTCCCTGCGAAAGTAAACTTGTGCAAAAATGTGGGTAATGCTGGCGACTTGTATTTCTATCGCTAAGAGACTCCTTGACATATTGCCCAATTGCGAAAAGCCAGTGGAGCGAGTTTAACCAATAATGGTGAGGACTGTTAAAAAAAAAATAATAATAATTAATGGTGCAAATGCAAATAACGAAATGAGATGATGTTCATCAAAATTATAAAATATTATGGTATTATAAAAATATTATAGACATTAAAAATAATATTTTTAACAATTTGCAAAAAAAAACAAATAATAATCATTGCGAAATCCCAGAATATGAATGTCATTTGTCGTCAATAATTTTTAGCAAATGTGGAAATATAAAAAAAAATACTTAAAATAAAATGTTTCTGACTTAATTCACGTAGCAAACGCTTTATAAGCTTTGTGATTTTCGATTCAAACCAAATATTTGTCTTTTAAAAATCAGTTAACAAATGAATTATTACGCGCTTTTATTGCTCATTCTTTACGGTATGTATGACTATTTTTAGAATTAAATGAATAATTTCGTATGATTCGCAATGGGTGAATAGGTGGGTCAATCGAAGCTTTGGCCTGAATCAAACCTGAACTACCACGGTTCCTCGGGTAACATTATCGCCTAACCGAGAAAATCAAGGAGAATAGAATGGCTCAGTGGATTGATGAATTTGAGAGTCAATGCTGAGGTTTTATTCCCGGTAGGAACAAAGAAATTTATACTCCAAAAGAGCAGGCTGATGCTACCGACTTACCTTTATTTTTATCTCCAAGGGTGTCCCTGGTGAAAATTTGCCATGAATACTTTTTAAAAAAATATGATCATTTTCAATTTATTATTATTATTATTTATTATTATTAAATGAATATTATCGTGTAATGTGCAATGGGAAATTTTGAATTGAATTCTGAATATTATATTTAACCAGTAACCAATAAAATATTGGATTATTAATTATAATTTCTAAACAATGGTCAATTTCAGTTTTTACAATTCCTCAGTTATACACGGAATCGACTCCACAAGGTAATGCTTTCTCCTTATGGTTTTGTATTAATTTTATTTATACATTTACAAGTATTCCAGGATTTTGATGACAAAATCTTAGCAATTTTTTGGATGTCAGATATTTATTCCTTTTTACTGTTGTGAAAGCGAATTCTCATTCAAAATCCTAAAAAAAAATTTAAGTGTTAAATATTTTCCTAAATAATAAAAGTTTTCGGCTGATGAAAAATGCTTATATGAAGATGAAGGTAAATTATATTTTACCAATTTGCTGTATCAGTACAATTTTTCTTCTCTCAATGATGTATAATGATCTTCTTTGAGATAAATGCAGTGGTTTGGTGACACTGTCTCTTGCGTATTGAAAGATTCATGCGGGTTTTGGCTTGTCGTTGGAGTGATAGGTAAAAAAACTGAAAAGTAGTAAAAAAGGATCAAATAACTCATATTTTAGCTTCACGAATCGAGACGTTTGTATCCACAGCTGCAATTTTTTTTCGAATGCACTAAATTTTAGATTTTTTTGCAGCAGCAGACTAATTTTTTATATAGAAAAGCAAACTTATAGTGCAACTTGTATTTATCCAATTTGTCATTTGATTCGGAATATCTGAAAACTGAAATTCTTTCTATTAGGATGAATCATTGAAATGAGCGTTTTTCTGCTAAAATTTACCGACAAAAAAAAAAACCTACAAAATCCTTTAACATGAAAATATTTATCATGAGAATAGTTAAGTTTACCATAATTTTTTGTTCGTTTCCAAACATTTTTCTTTATTTCATTCATAAAATTATTTGGCGAAAAATATTTAATTTATTTAAATTTCTTAAGAAAGAATTATTATATTTTAAATTATAACAAATTTTGGCAAGTAAGAAATAAATTATAAGAAATAAATTTTTATAATAAATTATTTTGCACTATTATAATAAATCCCAATGGTCGGTAAAGCATCTGATAGCCAGCATCTGGCAGCTTTTTCGTTCAACTGCACGGCTAGCATATTTATGAGTGGCATTCCAACAATGGATATGACCAACTTCTGAAGATCCTTTAATTCATCTGAGTTCATTCCTCGATGTAGAATCTTCCCATAACTTAGCTTATTAACCTTATTTTTTTTCTTTTTATTCGACATATTAAAATATCGCTTATAGTTTGTAGTTGTGTTGAATTTGTCATTGACTTTTTCTCCCTCTTTTTCTAATATTTCCCATCACTGATGGAACTGTTAGAGTAAAGCATCTATCATTTATCACTGAATGCCATCATGAAATTGCCATTTATTTCATTAGCAACATTATTAAAGTAAAAGGAAAAATTAAAATTTAATTTCGAGCTTAATTTCTAGCAGATAATAAATTTCAAAATTACATATAGTTGGCAGAGTTAATAGATCGTCTGATGCACTTTAACATTTTCAGACAGATTTCATCGTTTAAATTGTTGAATTCATAGAAAACGAATTTCACCGTAATAATTACAGTTCTATGCTTTTTTCCTCTCCCAGTGTAGAACGACAATGCAGATTTGCATTAGCCGATAAGTTTAACTCTTAGATTTCTTTATTTCAATTTTATACCTCTCTTGGTCCAATTTTGTTTTTAATAGGAACGAAAAATCAATGCGGAGATGAATCAAAAATTTCCGATGGATTGCGAAAACACTTGTTGGATGTATTCACCGGCCGTGAAAACACCGGAATGGTTACATTTTCACTAAAAAGCTAATGAAGAATTATAATTTTTTTTATCAACTAAAAGAACTTAGTTTTCTTAATTTTCTTCGTATCCTCTTTATGACCCTTAGGATATTTCATCAAATTTCATAAAATTATTTTATTCATCAATTTTCAAAAAACTATTTATCTGATACTTATTTATACACGGATTTCATTGAAAATAAAAATAGACAAAGTAGTCGTGAAATATAAGAAAGTTCTCGTTCCGGATTCCGGATTTTTTTAAAGAGCTCACACCATAGCTGGTTCACTGGTTTGATTCGCTCCACTGTTTTATCGTACGAAACAAATATGCCAGGGAATCTCTTGGAGATAAAAATACAGTGAGTCGCCAGCATCAATCAGATTTTCAGACAGTTTTCTCCTGCTGTTTATACAATGACGCTTAACAAATTGAGCAACAACCCACTGAGACATTCTTTTCGAAATCTTGCTTAAAAATAATTATTTTCCATATAACACAAAAAAGCTAATATAACCTTTTGTACATCTGAATGGGCTATTTCTTTCTTCTTTGACTGCATCAGTTCTCGAGTGAGCCAAGTGATATTTGGACAACGCTGGCCGATTAGGATACTTCTAATAAAACCTTTCGTAGTTATGTCCATAAGTGATTTTGAAATAATGTATGAACGTTATTGTGGCTCCAGTAATCATTATGCAGGCCATTACCAGTGTCTTCGTCAAACCATCTATCTCTATCCGTTTCTATCGAAAGATCTTGAGCATTTCCCCTGCCTAATATTTTTATTTCCGTCACTATCTTTCCCTTTCCAATCTTCGCCATCTCGTCCACTTACCACTCAACCATAAGATTAGGGTACAATTTGCATCGGGATTCACGAGCATTGCTTGATTTTCCTATGGCCTTTCAACTATCAAATCTCTATTGGAGTAGATCTCTAGCGAATCTCTAATTAGTAATCTTGATTCTAAAAAAGTAAAGCAGTTTTTGAAAAAGGCTTAGAGAGAATAATCTTCAATGTTGATTGAACAATGTTATTAACAATGTCATTTTAAATTGATAGTCAAATTTAAAGAAATGGGACTGCGACTTAGAAAAGCAGAAACAAAAAGAGTTGGAAGAAGATAAAGATAAATGCGGCACAAGAAATTCGACGACATTCGCTTCTGAAGGTGATTCGAGTTTCTTGTTTCACCGTCGCAAAAATGGAAGAGACCAAGGTATTATTTATATTGCTAATATTTAATATTTTTATTTTGTCACTTCTCAGAAATATTTTTATTTTGTCACTTCTCAGAAATATTTTTATTTTGTCACTTCTCACAAAGAAATTGCCAAAAATTATCTAAAATAAAATAAAATATAGCATTTTTTCTTAAATAAATTTTCGAAATTCCCGAAATCTTTCCATATCAATTTCGAAATTTTCAAATCATTAAAAAAAATGAAACAAGCAGAAATAAATTAGTTACTCATATTCGATATCACTTTCATCATTTCATATTTATTTGTATTTTCAGAGCAAATTGCAGCAGAAATAGCGAAAGATTTGATGAAATATAAAACATACAATGTAAGTGTTAAAAAAAAAAATTGATTAAAAAAGTTTTTTTGAGAGCTTTTCAAAAATTTTCTTTCAGTAAAAACGACTAAAATTGCTTTTTAAATATATTCCATTTTTTTTCAGGAACATTTCAAAAAAGCTAAAAAATGTGGTTGTGGATTACAAACTTGCCGGAAGAAGAACGGCGATTTTGATGTCGTTGAATTCAATTGCGATTTCCGCAAAAATTAGATTGTAGTAGAAGAGATTTTTGACATTTCTATAAAATAGAAACATTAGATGATAAAATAAAAAATTTAATAAAAACCATTAAATCTTTTAAAGTATAAAACGAATCATTTTCGCAAATGTTTTTTTAAAGTAATAAAGTGACATTCAATTAAAAAAATTTTGAAATTTACTTAAAGAAAAAAAGCTGTAATTATTTTTGCAATTATTTTTCATTTTTCTCCAAAGGAAAATATATCAAATTTATCGCCTTCGGCAATTTCGATTTTTTAGATTTTTGCCATAAATCATTCCATTCTAAAGCAATTGTAGATCTTCGCCTTCGCAAGTTTTAAAATTCCTTAGCCAAAAGTCTCAGTTTGATTGTTTCCATTTTTCTTCTAATACTTTTTTCAGTAATATTAACTCAGCTAATATGCCGCGTTAATAAAGGAGTTATTATCACCAACTCTCCTCTCCCATAGCTTTTAATTGGTGAAGACGAATTTTATGAATGTCCTTTATATCTTTTGCCTTCGGCCTTTTTAATTTCTCATAGATTTCATCGATGATAATTGTATCTCTAAATTTTGGAATTGTCGGAATCGAAATAACAAGTCGTTGATCATTTTGAGAGAGAATCTTTTAATCCTTGGGTGAACGACCTACTCTACGATGCACTGAAAACTATTGTTGAATAATTTACATATTTTAAAAAGTGAAAATTCGAATTTTTGTCAATTTTTTCATACTTAATAGCCCATTTTTTGCCAAAATGATTTCTGTGTTCGAAATTATCTGGCATTCTCAATTTTCAGAAAAAAAATTACTGAAGAGATTTTTGTAAAACTTTGCTAAATCAAATGAATAAATCGAACTTTTCTAATTCGTTCTCCTTGAAATAAAAAAGTAATGGATCCATCTATCATGGCAGTTAAATTCCTTTATATCGCAAATATATTTGGACACATTTTTGCTGTGAAATCTTTTATCCTATCACATCGTCCAGGAATCGGGTTGTTGGTGGTATGGAGCGCCGATGCTGGATTTGATTTCCCGCAGAAATAAGACTGTATCAGGATGATACTGGTAACCCACCTGTATTTCTATCGCCAAGAGACTTCCTGGCATATTGCTCAATGTGACAAGCCAGTTTAATCAGTGATTTAATCAATCCTCAGGAATCATTTAGTCATAATTCCTATAATAAATTGATAATTCTTTATCTGCTGGGTTATCGCATTGGACAAATATGCCATGGAGTCCATTAGGCGATGGAGGTAAGGTATAAGTGAGTCGCCAGCATCATCCATATTTTTGCACACGTTTACTCCTGTGGGGAATAGAACCTCAACAGGTTGACTATTAGGCCGTTATTATCATTATTATGGGGGAAAGATAATAACTTGTTAATAGTGGAAATTGTTTGAACTGGACTTCAATAAAATAATGCTATGGATTATTTTCAGATTTTTTTCAATATTCCTTTTTTTACTCCATTGTAAGTGCATTACATCCTCAATCAATCCATTGGATGGCATATCAAACTGATGGTACTTTTGATACGAATGGCAATCGCTTTAAATCTAATAAATATAATTGTTTAATTAATTATTAATTTAATTAAAATAATTATTAAATAGTTGATTTTTAACTAGTTTTTTAGATTTCATGTGAATGGCTAATCTCTATTTTATTAATGATTAAGCTCGTTCTAATAGATTGTTGGATTCATACAAATTCATGTTGGATTTAATTGCTAAAATGCAGCATAGAATGAATGGTCAAAGACAAATAGCTTGTCATCTATTCGAGTTGGCCTTGTTTTGTATTTATAACATTCTTCGATTTTTCGAAATGAAGGCTTAAAATAAAAACAAATAATAAATAAAAGTAAAACAAAATTTTTGATTAAAACATGCAGAAAAAGAATTAGGACAAGTTTCACAAAATTCGCAAATTTGCATACTCGAATTGAATTGTGGAATCACTTTTTTTTGTCCAAAAGTTTCTGAAAGCTTGTTTGAATAATTCGCATAAAAGACAAGCTTTTCTCACATAATTTTTTGTGATTAAAGATCTAATATCTTTGATAATGCGCGATAATAACGATGGGTGATGATGATGACGAAAGGTGATGATAACAATAACTGATAATCAGAAGTCAGAAAAAATTACCGCTGATATTTATGGAATAATAATCGGCTTAATATTTGTCATTATTAAAAAATAACTCAGTGAATGTTTTTGACATATAACGCAAATAAATTTTTTTCGATGATGATTAATTAAACAGAACAAAATTTAATAGAAAAAAAATTTGATTTTGAAAAAAAGAGATTATTGGAGTAAAAATGATTTAATTATTTATTTAGTGAAGATTTAAAATTTAAAAAATTTAGCAAAATAAAAATTTGCATATTGAAGACAAAGTTTAAGAAATCACCACATAGTGTTCCTTTCAAGTTTAATCAATTAAATAGAAAACTAATTAAAATTAATTTAATTATTATTTAATAAATTTTAAACAATTTATCAAATATAAAAGTAAAAATATTTAATTTTAGTAATTTTATAGTAATAATATTAAATTAGAAGACCCCCATAAAATTTTTTTTTTTTAAATATTTACAGTATTAGATAGTACATTAATCTGGTCTTCTTGAAAATTAGGATGCCAAAGGCAATGTATAAATAAATAATAAATAAATAAAAATGCGACCATTATAAATAATTATAAAGAAAGCACTCAATAAAAGAAAGCACTCAATAGAAAGACGAGTTAATTCTTGGTGGAACTAGAATTCGAAACCCAGCAGCCTGAAAAGAGTTATTAATTTTCTAAGCCGTGCCATTCCTCAATTTGCTTAGAAAGGGATGCAAAAATTATCAAATAAAAATTATCGAAGCATATAATAAGCTTTTATAATTCACTTATAGTCAATAATCAAAAAGTATTTAAGAAGTCGATAGTTGAAACTGAAAATTAATTTTGATAGAATTCCAGGATTTTAAACAATCATATATATTACTGTAATTGACTATACCAACAATAAATTCATTTTAATAGTACAAAGAGGTAGGAAAAGATTTGAAAGTAGGGAATCAACCTCAGGCTCAGGCGATTCAGGTGATTTTATGGCACTTCATAGACATAAGTGGAAATA